TATTTATACTCTTGGAGAAATAATATACAATATGCAAACATATAAATATATACATATAATTAAATCTGTACCTATCAATACATATAATAGCACATGTCATATTTTCTTGCACTCCCAAAATTATCTTATCAAATTTTATCAGTATTAATTAAATGAATTTTTTACCAGACTTCGAAGATATGAAATTAAAGCTGATTATATTAAAATAAAATATTTTTATAAATTCTATATTAACTTTTATAAATTTTTAAATAATATGTTAAATCTTATTTGAATAAATTTTTTATAAAACTCTTAAATATAACATTTTTTGAACCAGTAAGTTTATTAATTTAAAATGATATAATTATCTCAATAAATAAATATAACTTTTTTTTTAAAAAAAAAGATACACTTACCTGACTTTTAAAAGTAATTCTCGTAGCTTTTATAAAACTTTATAACAATAAAATTATAGAATTTAAATTTGGAAAACTTTTATATCTTTATAAAATGACTATTTCTGTAATAATTTAAAAGAAACAATAATAAAAAATAAAACTATTATGCTTTTTTTCCTGTGATAACTCAAAATGTGGTCAATGTAACAAGTACTATAAACAATCAAGAGCACAAGAAAATACTGAACCTGAACTAACTATTTGAACCACTATTTATACGAGAAAGATAAGTACTATCAGGCAGCCTTTGCGTGGTACTAACTCTACTTCATGGAACAAAGCTTATCTGACGGCCAAGGAATACATGGTTTACACAATTCCAATTGAATATGGAGGGGTAATATACAAGCCATTTAGAGATCAAGTCTTCATTGGGGGGCATGGAAATATTATATTTAATCTATGTGCTTTGCTGTTGAAAATTATAGATTACAATCATTCATTACAATCAGTTGACATTTAATTGATAAAATTTTTGTAATATATTCATAGTTAAAATAGGTGCGTGCTATATCATTATACTATATCATTATTAGTACTTCTAATTGAGAAAATTTTTTTTTTATTAAAATATGATATAAAACAAAATATAAATTTTATATAACAAAATTTGTTTACAATTTATATAAATTTTAAAAAATATAACTTGACGATGTTAAATATATGTTAAATACTAATTATATTAAAAATTATAAAATAATTAATTTCAATAAGATATTTAATAACATTCAGTTTTTAAAATAATCAATTACAGAAAATCAAAACAATTTAATATATTTCATTTAAAAAATATGTATTAAAAAATATAATATATTGTCTATTGTATTTGAAATAAAAATACTATATTATTTATTATGTATTATTATGTATTATTATTATAATATTATTATTATAAAAACAAAAAATTCAATTTAAAAAAAAATATTAATCCAATAATACTTACAATATCACTGTTGAATAAAAAATTCTCTTGATTGATAAAGTGAAATTTTTAAATAAAATTGTTACATTTCAGTATAATTTTACTAGCTTATGCAGGAAATATCAGGCCGACTTAGGTAGTAGTAACTTTAAAATAACATAGCATCGAAATACAAACTGCTCCGCAAACATAATGTTAGCAAGTAACAAGATAATACAATGTTTGCAAAATAAGTTTTATTATTGTATGGTAATATTTATTATATTAAATAAATAATTTGGATTCAAGTCAGTTAATTTCAGAAAAGAGAAAAGGATAAATGAAATATAAGATAATAAATAATAAAAAAATTACAACGGAAAATTGACGAAACAATTGTGCATAATAAGGAAATATTCTACGAGAATAATTTAAAAAAATCATCATCTATCAGTATAATAATATTTAATCTGTTATTAAACATATTGCATGACAAAAAGCTTGTACAATCTTTACAAAGACCACGTTGTGACTCATCGATAACTAAAATTTTCACGTGACAGCATGCAAGATGTAAGTACTCGGAAAGACGATGTCAAATATGCATTAGTATACATACCTTATCAAATGATCGCCACCCTGCGGGTCGGCACTCGGTTTTTGACGGAATGATGGAAGTTTTCGGTGACTGGATCTCAAAAATCAGTCAAATCGATCGATGAAAATTGAAGCTTCGTTCGTGTTGTGACCAGTGCCTGTCGGATTCTCTCGCGACCGATTCCCCGTTAAAAATATCGAAAAAGAACATTCGTTTGTTCAATCGTAACTGCTTAAGAGTTACGAGAGAACATTAATACGCCTGTCGATTAACTCGTAATTCGTATTTAATTTCGTAAAAAATCTCGGAAAAACCTGGTGCAACCGCAGAACTTCTTCCCACGGACACACCACCGAGCAAGAGCTCCCGGAAAGGTTCGTAAAAGCATCCAATGCGAAGCATATTCGATTTCATAACTCGAACTTCGAGTTTTTCTTTCGATTATTACAATCGACTATTACAAGGATTTAAATATTGCGGATAAACCTTAAAACATTCAAGATATATAATTGAAATTTCACTAAAATTTTTTATAATAATTTTATAATTATTGAAACTTTAGAATTATTAAAGTTATAAAAATTAAAAAATTTTTTTTAATATAATTGAAAAATATTTTTTTTTTAGAAAGAAATTTTTATATTTATATCATTGGATTTGAAATTTAATTAAAAAATACAAATAAACTATTAAAATACAAACAAATATATGGATAAAATTAGGAAAATTTAAAAAATAACTTTCAATCCTTAATATTATTAAAAAATCATTCAGAAAAAATATAAAATTATATTAAAATTGATATGAATTTCCGTAATTATTATAATTTATTTAATAATAGTTTTTAATTATAAATAACAAAATAACATTTGGAATAACTTTATTGAAATATATATTCAAACATTATATATGTTTTTGTAACATAAATATAAATCATATTCTTATAGATAGACAATTTCCATTTATGGAAAAACATTAGAATTAAAATTTGAAATATAGGTTTATAACATTAACTAATTGTTTTAATCATTAGAATCCATAGTATATTTTCTATCCTCTTCTCCTTTTACAGATTTTATTATTTCTTCTATTAACCTATTATATTACAAAGGTTATGTATGTTATAATTATATATTTAAAATATTTTAGTTAATAAAATTATCAATAATAAAAAATTTATTAAAAACATATTTTATTATATATTATTTATTTTATTATATATTCTTACTTTCTTTGTTTAATGTTTCATTTACATGGGCTGCAGAAAAAGACCTGACAACTGTTTTTATTAATGCTATACAACTAAAAAAATTAATTTTATTAAATTAATTTTATTATATTATATATAAAATATATATATAAAATATAATTATAAAAATAAAATAATACCTGAATATAGCAATTAATCCAGCTGGCATTAATTTACCACTATTATAATAACGATAACCCATAAGTCCACCAAGAACAGAAGTTGCTGCTATAGAAAGTCCAATATTTGTAGGATCTTGAGAAGTTTGATAAGCTCCATAGCCCAAAACAGATCCAAAGATAAGTCCAGCACCCAAAGAAGGAATTGATTCTTAAAAAATGAAATAATTTTATTTCTTATTATAAAAATTTTTTAATTATCTCTAAATTAAAAATTGTAAAATAAAGAAATAAATACATAAAATTTAAATTAATTAAAAAGTATATAAATAATTTTATAAATATTAATAATATTAATATTTATATACAAAGTAAAATAATATTTAATAATATATAAATATTTAATAATATAGATATAAACTTACGCGCTTTTACATAACCCATTATACCACCAGCCGCTACTGTAGCGGCATAAATATATCCAAGTATATCAACAGGCATATTGTTTGATTATAATTTTATTATTAAGAAATTTTTTTGAAATATGCTTTATTACTTAAATAATAAATGACAGCACTAATAAATTACAAATGCTAAACAGAATGTATTCATTTTTTGCATATCACAAATATAATCATGATATATTCATTTTATAGAGTGGTTTATCTATTTATCTTTTATAGCGATTGTTGCGCTCTCTGTTGTACTTAAGTACTAAATAGTTTTATATATATATTCACTATTCAATACAATATGTACATAAACTATTATACTATGCTATTGCATATATATATATTATACACAATATGTACATAACTATTATACTATACTATTGCATATATATATATATATATACACAATATGTATAATAACTATTATACTATATACTATATACATAACTATTATACTATACTATTGCATATATATATATATATATA